GCACCGCCACTGGCGTCCGAGATAAGTGCTTCGCCGCATCATGCAGAAGCAAGAAGAAGCACAACAGCAAGTTCTGTATTCAACACCACAAGGGCGCGGAGAACTGCAAGAACCAAGCGCAGAAGGATGGCGAGATAGAAACATACAATCAAGTCTTCAATGGCCCAGTCAAGGCGGATCAGGCTCTGGGGCAGTACGAGAAGGACAACTGCGAGGGTCGGTTCCGCAAGAGACTCATCGATTGGGGCCAGTGGAAAAGGCAGTTCGGCGTCAGAGTCAGCACAAAAGTTCGCAATGTCGAAGAGTGGTTGGACGTAGCAGAGTACGTTGACATCAAGACCAGCACATGCCAGTGGGGGAAGCGAAAGAAGAGGCGAAGAAGGTCAAGACCGAGGAGTTCAAGCAAATGTGCAACCAGCCCGGCATCGAGAAGGAGGGCGAGTGGCCTAGCACTCGCATCTGGGTCTACATGAAGAGGCAGAGGATCGGCGATGTCGAAAGGTACATCGACTCCAACTTCGAGGAAGGATCCAAGCAGATGAAGGACTTGACCAAGGCGGACAAAGACAGCTTCAAGCAATATTGCCACACATCAGCCCCTTCAAGCAGCAATGCGTTCCTGTCAGGGACGCTGACAGGGACGGGCGGGTGGGAGGACGACGGAGATCGCGACAGCAAGCCCGTGGCGGAGGTCAAGAAAGAGGACGGTGAGGATGGGCCACCATCTAAGAAGTTGAAGCACGTCGACGTGGCCACACCGATGCCCAAGGTGAGGACCAAACTCGAGAAGAAGGTCGACAAGGCGCGGCAGGCCGGGGATATCCTGAAGCAGATGATGAAAAAGGCGTTGGATGATGCGGCGCGCATTCCCGACCATGACCAGAACATGAAAAACTACGTCAATGTTGTGAGCATTCGCTTTCAGGCGTTGCAGTTTTGGAGCGGCACGGCACCTTTGGAAGGGCGTTCGGAACAACTCGTGCTGGCCACCCCGACGAAGCCCGAGGTGAAGCCCGAGGAAGAGGGTTCGCAGCAGCCCGAGGAGGCCGTGGCCGAAGGGAGACCAACGGCCGAGGTTTCCAAGGAGGTCAAGACAGAAAAGATGCAGGGCACGCCGGCCGTCGAGACCAAAGAGGAGGCCGGCAAAGACGTGCCAGCGCAGTCTCCGCCCTTGAGCAAGGGGATTGGTCCCGCCTCCAGCCGCAAGTCGAGTTTGAGCGCCAACTTGGGCGATGAGCAGACCAAAGCCATGAAGAAGTTCTTGGACGAGAAAGGGATCGCTGGGCAGGTGACTCATGACAACTCGAAGCTGGCGTCCTACAACGAGATGCTCAAGCTAGTGGAGAAGGTTTCATCAGCGGTCACGGCAACAGAGCTCAGCAGCCTCGAAGAGTCAGTCAGTGAGAAGTGCGAGTATTTCAACCAGATGTTGACGTCATTGAGACAGTCAAGTGGAGCTCTTTCTGGGCACATCAAGAATCAAGAGGGGAAGGCTGAGAGGGAGCAGAAAAAGAAGCAGGTGGAGGAGGCGGCCGAGGCTATCAAGAAGTCGAGAGAGGAGACAAAACGTTTGTAGGAGAAGCTGAAGGCTTCCTCGAAGTTGGCGCCGCCTCTGTTCAAGCTGAAATTCGACGAGCTCATAACCCATGGGCTCATCAGGGCGGCCCCTGTCGGCAAGGACCTGAATGACAACACCATCATGGCGCCGCTCCTCATCACTGGCCCGTCTGAGTGGAAGACTGCTTCTGAAGTGGGGATCCTCGCCTTCCAACTTGGGAAGTTCGGCGGCAGCTACAAGAGCTCCCCTGAGTGCAAGCAGCAAGGCAGGGTCCAGCAGCCTCTCTATACTGGGGAGGGGAAGGAGGTCGTGGACCAGTTCATGGAGAAGATGTGCAAGAGTGTCGATGCCAAGCTCGTGATCAACCCGTCTACGGATGGCGCAGAGACATTCAAGACCGTCCTGGAGAGCACGTGGATGCTCGGCTACAAGATCCCAATGTACAATATATCTCAGACAAGCAACGGCCTGGGGATGATCAGGACTGTGGCATACGGGAGCGTCAATATGTTAATGTTTGATGCTCATCAGGTTGTGCCTGCTTTGCGCCAGGTGCTCAGCAAGGACAGCGTGACGCTCCCAGAAGTGATCAAGCACCTTGAGAGCTCTAGCACTGAGACGCTGAGCGCGCTGAAAGATAGAGGTGTGATGATCATGAGCGCAAATGTGAACGCAGGAGACGCGATCTACATTCCCTCCGGCTGGCTCGTTGCTGAGAGCGTGGACACTGGTGCGATGGTGTATGGAGTGCGGGAGACGGTTCTGTTCAAGGGTGCTGGTTCTGATTCCTATGATGAGCTGTTGGATTTGAATCCTGGCAAGAAACACCCAAAGCAGGAGGCGGTGGCAGAGTGCTTGAAGCCAGTGCATGATGAGTGAGAGCGTGTAGCAAGATATACACGTTTGGGCCTGCACATCATACATCGCCCAACCCCGTGCAACAGCATCAGCATCGACATATCTCAAACTGTATTGAAACAACATCACAAGTCACATGCACATACAGCCATTCAACATTCAACATCAGAACACTGACGGACAGCACACAATCACTACGGGTCATCTTGCACGCATGCGCGCACGCATACATACAACGTGCATCGACTCATACATCGCACACGGCATAACCTACATGAAATTCCGTCCCTCCACTGCCACTGTCTCTCCATCTCTCTCCCTTCCCCCCTCCTTTAACCCTCTCCCTCCCCTCAGGTCCCCCTCCCCTCACCCTCCCCTCCTTTAACTATCCCTCTCCCTCCCTTCCTGTCCATCCCAACGAACCTCCTTCTCAAACGTCGCTCCTGAGTGTGTGATGTGCTCTTTCACTCTGGCCCCGAGCCCTGGCGAGCAAGTCCACTGGAGGCAGTGCAACGTCGCCCGCGTGTCTCGGCTGAACCGCTGCGAGAAAAAGAAGGAATAGTATGTAATTCAATGGTTGCTTCCGCCGCTCTTCCGCTATTTAAGGGCTTCTGCCGATATTCCGCCGGGATTCGCCAGGAAGACCTCTGACATGTTGACTGATCTGTTCGCGGGGGGGTCTGGGGGTAAAGGAAACGCGCCCTACAACTCTATATCATCACGCGCTGTGTTTTGAGCGATTTGGCGGGAATGCTTTTCAGGTGTTGCGATCTCTGCTAACCCTCTGGATGGAAAGCTTGCGAGATAACAGTAGCCTGGAGTACCAGCTTGTCGCTGGGGGTACATACCTATACGTATATTTGCATATACACGCTGTTACAACCTGCGTACGGGGGAAAGTTCGACATATGGGCTCAAAACAAAATGGCGCACCCATCGGAGCTATGAGTGTTGCTAACATATTATATATATACATATATCTGAATTTCAGAAACATATGTGTAGTAATTATTTGAAATCAGCTTTATTTGTATGTTTCGACCACGCGAAATGCGGTTCCGTCCCACAGCTCTGAATAGAGCGATTCTAGACCTGTCGTGACACCTAGCAAGGTGGGGGGCGTGGGTAGGTTCTGGGCCAGGAACTGTCGAGTGGGGGGTCCCAAGAACAGAGTTCTCCCAGGGTGGGAATGCCAGGCCAAGAGGGGGTCCAGGTGGGGGGCGTGGGTTAGTTCGGGCCTGGAATTGTCGAGTGGGGGGTCCCAAGAACAGAGTTCTCACAGGGTGGGAGTTGCCAGGCCAGGAGGGGGGTCCAGGTGGTGAGCACGTGGGTAGGTTCTGGGCAAGAATGTCGAGTGGGGGGTCCCAAGACCAGATTTCCCCGAGGGTGGGAATGCCAGGCCGGGAGGGGGGCCAGGTGCGGGGCGTGGGTAGGTGCTGGGCCGGGAATTGTCGAGTGGGGGGTCCCAAGAACAGAGTTCTCCCAGGGTGGGAATGCCAGGCCAGGAGGGGGTCCAGGTGGGGGGCGTGGGTAGGTTCTGGGCCAGGAAGTGTCGAGTGGGGGGTCCCAAGAACAGAGTTCTCCCAGGGTGGGAATGCCAGGCCAGGAGGGGGTCCAGGTGGGGGGCGTGGGTGGGTTCTGGGCCAGGAATTGTCGAGTGGGGGGTCCCAAGAACAGAGTTCTCCCAGGGTGGGAATGCCAGGCCAGGAGGGGGTCCAGGTGGGGGGCGTGGGGGGGGGGGGGGGGGGAGGGAAGTTCTGCGGCCAGGAAGTGCAAGTTGGTGGGCTCGGCTCCAAGAAGAGAGTTCTTTCAGGGTTGGAGTGCCAGGGCCAGGAAACGGGTTCCAGCGTGGGTGGGGCGTGGCTAGGTTCTGGACCAGGAATTGTCGAGTGAGGGGTCCCAAGAATTGAGTTCTCACAGGATGGGAATGCCAGGCCAGGAGGGGGTCCAGGTGGGGGGCGTGGGTTGGTTCTGGGCCAGGGATTGTCGAGTGGGGGGTCCCAAGAACAGCGTTCTCCCAGGGTGGGAATGCCAGGCCAGGAGTGTGTGCAGGTGGGGGGCGTGGGTAGGTTCTGGGCCAGGAAGTGTCGAATGGGGGGTCCCAAGAACAGAGTTCCCCCCAGGGTGGGAATGCCAGGTCAGGAGGGTGTCCAGGTGGGGCGCGTGGGTAGGTCCTGGGCAAGGAATTGTCGAGTGGGGCACCAAGAACAGAGTTCTCCCAGGGTGGGAATGCCAATCCAGGAGGGGTCCAGGTGGGGGGCGTGGGTAGGTTCTGGGCCAGGAATTGTCGAGTGGGGGGTCTCAAGAACCGATTTCTCTCAGGGTGGGAATGCCAGGCCAGGAGGGGGTCCAGGTGGGGGGCGTGGGTAGGTTCTGGGCAAGGAATTGTCAAGCGGGGGGCCACAAGAACAGAGTTCTCCCAGGGTGGGAATGCCAGGCCAGGAGGGGGGTTCCCTAGCCTCTCCTCTCATCCCCCTGTGTGGGGGGCTGTGGGTGTTTAGTTCGGGCCAGGAAGTGCCGAGTGGGGGTCCAAGAACAGAGTTCCCACAGGGTGGGAATGCCAGGCCAGGAGGAGGTCCAGGTGGGGGGGCGTGGGTAGGTTCTGGGCCAGGAATTGTCGAGTGGGGGGGTCCCAAGAACAGAGTTCTCACAGGGTGGGAATGCCAGGCCAGGAGGGGGTCCAGGTGGGGGGCCTGGGTAAGTTCTGGGCCAGGAATTGTCGAGTGGGGGGTCGCAAGAACAGAGTTCTCCCAGGGTGGGAATGCCAGGCCAGGAGGGGGTCCAAGGTGGGGGCGTGGGTAGGTGTTCTGGGCCAGGAGTGTCAAAGTGGGGGGTTCCAAGAAAGAGAGTCTCAAAGGTGGGGGGCCGGCCAGGAGGGGGTCGAGGTGGGGGGCGTTGGTAGGTTCTGGGCCAGGAATTGTCGAGTGGGGCGTCTCCAGGGGGGTCCCAAGAACAGAGTTCTCCGAGGGTGGGAATGCCAGGCCAGGAGGGGTCGATGGTAGGTTCTGGACCATGAATTGTCGAGTGGGGGGTCCCAAGGGCAGTGTTCTCCCAGGGTGGGAATGCCAGGCCAGGAGGGGGTTCAGGTGGGGGGCGTGGGTAGGTTCTGGGCAAGGAATTGTCGAGTGGGGGGTCCCAAGAACAGAGTTCTCCCAGGGTGGGAACGCCAGGCCAGGATGGGGGTCCAGGTGGGGGGCGTGGGTAGGTTCTGGGCCAGGAATTGTCGAGTGGGGGGTCCCAAGAACAGAGTTCTCCCAGGGTGGGAATGCCAGGCCAGGAGGGGGTCCAGGTGGGGGGCGTGGGTAGGTTCTGGGCCAGGAATTGTCGAGTGGGGGGTCCCAAGAACAGAGTTCTCCCCAGGGTCCAGGGAATAGAGTTTCTCCAGGGTGGGAATGCCAGGCCAGGAGGGGGTCCAGGTGGGGGGCGTGGGTAGGTTGTGGGCCAGGAATTGTCGAGTGGGGGGTCGCAAGAACAGAGTACTCCCAGGGTGGGAATGCCAGGCCAGGAGGGGTCCAGGTGGGGGGCGAGGGTAGGTTCTGGACCAGGAATTGTCGAGTGGGGGCCCCCAAGAACAGAGTTCTCCCAGGGTGGGAAAGCCAGGCCAGGAGGGGGTCCAGGTGGGGGGCGTGGGTAGGTTCTGGGCCAGGAATTGTCGAGTGGGGGGTCCCAAGAACAGAGTTCTCCCAGGGTGGGAATGCCAGGCCAGGAGGGGGTCCTGGTGGGGGGGCGTGGGTAGGTTCTGGGCCAGGATTCTGTGTAGAAGGGACCATGAAATCCAGCTGAGAAGGATTCCGCACACGCCTCATGGGGTCGGCGGATTTTCTTCAGGTTGTTGAAGGATTTTGGCCTCTTGGGGGGGTCCTTGGGGGCCTCGGAGGGCACTTGAAACCGTTTTGTGGCCGTCATGAGGCCTCCTGGGCGCGCGTCGGAGGCCATCTTGACCCGTCTACCGCTATCTTGGGCCATCTTGTAGGCCATCTTGTGTTCTCGGAGGCCTCCTTGGAGCCATCTTGGGCCATCTTGGACGCTGCAATGGGCCCGCCCGCCCCCCCCCCCGCCCAAATGCAGGGAGGGGTGGGGAGGTAAACCTCCCGAGCAGGGAAAGGCAGGAGGTTGGAAAAGGAAGCGGCCTAGACCACCTGCGCCCAGAGGGCTGGTGGGATTTCGCCGCCAAGATGCGCCATGATGGTGCAAGTGCGGTGGTGGGCCAAGGAGAAGAGGGAGGATTGCGATGCGGGTCGGGGAGGGTGTGGCAATGAGGAGGAATGGGCGAAGGAGGTGATTATCTTCTAAGTGCCTTTTCTCTTGCTCGCAGTAAGAGCGCATTCCCGCGTGATATGTGAGGAGGTTTCTTGCGGTGAAGGTGGAGCGGTGAAGGTGGATGCTGGGCGCCTCGCCAGAACGCACTGCTAGGTTTCGAGGAGGGGTGGGGTGTGCATCCAATGTTGGCCTGGGTGTGGGCCGACGCCAACGTCGAACCGTGGCGCGATCGTGGCGCCGCTGGCGTTTCAGGCTCTAGACTCTAGCCGTTGCGTCGGCGAGGTTGGTTTCGCATTCTTGCCGTGTATATAGTATGGGTGATGGGGGTCATGGCCCGCAACATGCTTTCGTTTGGGGGAACGCCGATGGGTCCGCAGGGAGTGGGGAGCTACGGGCATCCGGACGTCCAACGCCTGAGAGCTACCAGACTTCCAAAGCACTTCCAGCTGTGTCGCCGCGTGCCCAGCCGCCCGCCATCAGTGATCCAAGCGGCAACCCCGTTCCTACGGCGCTGCCGTCGTCCGATGCCGAGGGCCACCGTCAAGGTCGAGATTGTGGCGCGCAAGTGCCGCTACCGCTGCTCTTCTCCACTGCTAAACACAATGGCGGTGCGCTTCCCCCGCGCGTCGCCATGCCAACGTCAATGCAGAGCGGCCTCATGCCAGCCGTGGTCCAGAACGCCGATGCTGCGCCTTCGCCGCCTGCTGGAGCGACGCTGGGACGCCAGCATGGTGAGGTTGCACAGCTGTCGCCGACTGATC